ACATAAGTTTGTACGTGATTGAAAAATGTAGGTCGTAAATCTTCAAACAAATGTGACAAATGTTTCCGAAGTAACGCCAACTTCACGCATGCGTGAACACGTTATATATAAAAGTACATAACCTAAAAGTTGAATCTTATTATTATCACACGCTGTCGTACGTACATGTATCACACGTATAACTGTATTTAAGAGACTCGTTCTCGTCCTCTACTTCTTTATAAAATTTTTAATAAATACCGTCACTGTCCAAATATAAATAACCATAGAGAAGTACTCGGTAAGATATGGTGTTTAAGTTTAAGTTATTGTAAATGTATCTTGTATCGCGTACGATGTAAAGAAGCGGCTGATAAACGAGTAAATATGCGTGTAACATAAATCAATGATCTTTTCGTAGCAAAGATCTTTATGTAATTTTATATTGCGGCATGACGATTTATAATACTACGAGTAAGAAACGTTAGAGTTGTTACGATGAAGTGTTATTACGAAATATTGGGAGTGCCACGAAACGCCTCCGACGACGATTTGAAAAAGGCTTACAGAAAATTAGCTTTGAAATGGCATCCGGATAAGAATTTGAGCAACCCGGAGGAAGCGAAAGAACAGTTTCAACTTGTTCAACAGGCTTGGGAAGTGTTGAGTGATCCTCACGAACGTAGCTGGTACGACAACCATCGCGAAGCTATTTTAAAAGGTGGTCTCGACGGAGATTACAAGGACGACTCTATCGATCTCTTCCAATATTTCTCGACTGCTTGTTTCAAGGGATACGGAGACGATGAGCAAGGATTTTACACAGTCTATCGTAACGTGTTTGAAAAATTAGCAACCGAGGACATGGAATTTGCAAAAGAGAGCGACTCGCTCGAAGAGATTCCAGAATTTGGGGATTCGCAAAGTTCGTACGAAGAAGTTGTTCATAATTTTTACGCCTACTGGCAAAGTTACAGCACAAAAAGGTCATTCGCATGGTTAGAACCCTACGATATTAGGGATGCTCCCAATAGACGAGTCGTACGTCTCATTGAGAAAGAAAACAAGAAAATTCGAGATAAAGCCAAAAAGGAGAGAAACGAACAAGTGAGAAACTTGGTTGCTTTTATACGTAAACGTGACAAACGAGTACAAGCTCATGTAGTGAAGCTCAGCGAACGTGCAAAGGAGAATTCAAAGAAGGTGGAAGAACGGAAGAGACAGCAGTTGTTAGAAAGGCAGAAACAATTAAAGGAACATAAAGTGTCAGAGTGGTCCAAATTTTCAAACATAGAGGCCGAACTCAGGAATATCGAAGCTAATCTTGACGAAGAATTTGGAGAAGATTTATCTTCCGAAGATGACACGGATAATGAAAATGCAATGGACGATAATTCTTTGTATTGCCTAGCTTGTAACAAAATCTTTAAAACGCAGAAGGCGTTTGAAAATCATGAAAACTCTAAAAGGCACAAAGATAATATTGCAACGATAAAAGTGTCTATGATGGAAGAAGATGTGAAATTTGTAAGTTCTCAAGAGAGTGACAACTCCGAGTCAACCTCGCAATGTGCGAAAAGATTGGCAACAGATTCCCAAATCCCTGACTTTCTGTTAAATCCTGTTCAAAGAAACTCGCAGAATAAAATCAATACCGAAGGAGAATCTTCGGAGGCAGAATTAATATCAGACGATGAAGAATATAAAGATTTCGCAGAATCAAGAGATACGCGTTGCAAGGAAAAATTCAAGTCTGCAACAGGACCCTGGATGGATGATTTCCATCATGTTTCACCAAAAGTAATCAAATGCGACAATGAATGTACAACTTCCGAAGACGAACTTATTTCCGATCAAGAAAATGAAGAAATTGTACAACCTAAGAAACAAAAAAAGAAGAGACGAAAAAAAAATGTTCAGAATCCAATAGCGAAACAAATTAGCAACGAAGATCTGAATATCAATGAAAATGTGTTATTATCAAAAAAACAACGCAAAAAACTGCAACAAAAACAGACAATGTTAAACAATATCGTTGACAATGATCAACAATTATCCAATGATAAAATAGAGGAATGCGAAGAAAAAATAATCAAAGAAACGAATAAGACAGAAGTATTATCTAATAATTTAGAAACAAATAGTGCAATTAATGAAAAATGTAAAAGCAAGAAGGCTAGAAATGAGAAGAAGAAATCTTTTGAAAAAGACAATGCAAGTAAAAATAGAAAAGCATTGCAAAGTACCGAAATGTCAGATTTAGCGCATTGCTGCGTCACGTGTAAAGCTGAATTTCCCAGTAAAAATAAACTGTTTGAACATTTGAAGAAAACAGGACATTCTGTGTACATACCAGGTTCAATGAAAAATAAAAAGAATCAAGAAAAATCAAAAAGTCAGGGCAAGGGAAACAATGATAAGAGAATAAATCATTAACTTTTTGTGTACTAAATAATTTACATATTGCTTGATTTAATTTATTGTAACTAGTTTAAAAGATATGAAATTATTATTTTTATTAATGATATTTGTAAATTATTATGTAACATTATTTTGATGTACACTCGATACATAATCACTGAATAAACACAATAAAAATTTATGTTTGCATAAATTGATTTCTATTAAACCAAATATGATGCACAAAAAGAAATAATAAATGTAAATTGATTTATGTGAAATTCAAATTGTATACTGCTATATTTATATTACTGTTATACTTTACATCGTAATTTTAAGCTGTGATATATATTATTCGTTCTGATAATATGCAAAATTTTTCAGGTCAAAAATTTATATGAACGCGAGAGATAAATGTGAATGCAATTCGCTGTGCTGCTAATCATAGGTAAGATTTATATTTGTTTTCTTTCAAATAACTTTTAAATATTAATATGTACAAAAAAAGCAAACCGTGTTTCATAGCAAAATGTTGTAATAAATCACAAAAATAAGAAAATGATTAAGAAAAGTAAATAAAATTTAGATAGCAAATAATTAGACTTTAATTTAAGGTCTAGAATCATGGCTGCCAAACAACTAATTTTTTTTTGGAGCCGAGCGTAACAAAGATCCAATTCTATCAGTTCTTCAAGAATATATCGAGCAAGGTGCGGATAAAATTTTTTTAGAAATTGCGTCTGGTTCTGGACAACACATAGCCCACTTTGCTCGACACTTTCCTCAAATTTTATTTTATCCTTCGGAATACGACTTGACATTGCATGAAAGTATCGCAGCTCACACGAATGGACTTGCAAACGTGAAAGATCTTTTAAATATAGATATTACAACAAATTTCCATGCTTGGGGTAATGATATTTTTAAAGAAGCCAGTATCGATTACATATACAATGCAAGCATGATACACATTTCACCTTATCAATGTATTGGTTTATTTGACAACGCGGGTAAATTATTAAAAGATAATGGTGTTTTATTTACATATGGACCTTATGCTATAGACGGGAAAATAACACCAGAAAGTAACGTTAAATTTCATAAATTTTTGAAACGTCAAGATTCTAGTTGGGGTCTCAAAGATATCAATGATCTAAAGATATTGGCAGAAAAAAATGGTATCAAGTTGATAAATATTATTGACATGCCTGTTAACAATAAAACTATTATATGGAGAAAATGTTGAGTATATGACAATATATTTAAATTCTGTATTATTTTGCTTATAAAATATATTTAAAGATCGTTAAATCTGTATTTTAATAACTAGTACAATCTTTTTATTTAAGTCTTAATATCTTAATATCTAATTAGCATAGCTTTTACGTTACACTCTGTATCCTGTAGTATAGTAAATAATATAATAAATGTATTGTAACCAATCTTTCATTAAAACTTGTTGAAAACTCATACTCGTGTAATTTTAATAACGATCGAAAAAATTTACATTTTCTAATCCTTCTGGTAAATAATTCAACCCCGATTCATCTCTATGTTTCATGTTGTAACCTTTGCTGTATCCTAAAATAGAGTTTATAAAAAATATATCATTAAAAAGATATCTTTTACCAAATTATACATATAATTCTTACTAATGACAAATAATATGTAATTATCATTACCTAGATTCTTCATAAGCTTTGTTGGAGCATTTCTTAAATGTAAAGGTACTCCAGGTTGAGGTCCTTTATGTTCAGCTACTACTTTTTGAGCAGCTCTGAGTGCATCGTCCATTAACCTAGACTTTGATGCTCTCGCCAAATACGTTGTACATTGTGCCAAAATGACATCACAGTCGGGCATTCCTATCAACTTGCAACCATGCATTGTATTTACGGCAATTTCTGAAAAAATTATTTTCCAAAGTCACGTAATAAGACTTGGATAATCTTCTTAAATAATCTTCTGAACATTTGACATTACCGAGGGCTTTCGGATCTTCCAAACCAATATCTTCACATGCCATTCTAACTAACCTCCGCGCAATATAAACTGGATCTTCACCACCTAATATCATTCTCGTTAACCAGTAAAGAGAAGCATTTTCGTCACTCGCTCGGACAGATTTATGCAGAGCTGAAATCATATCGTAATGCTGATCACCCTTCTTGTCATATAACATATGAGTTTTCTTCAGGTTCTCTTGAATGTCGTTTAACGTTATGATTACAGGACCATTTTGTAAAAATTCTTCGTTACTTTGCACTTTACATTGAACTGCTAATTCCAAACCACCCAATGCTATACGTGCATCGCCGTCACAAGTTCCTGCTAACCATTCTATGGTTTGTTCATCTATAATAAACTTTGGTATTCGATCGGTATTTTCCAATTTGTTTGAGCCATGTATCGCTCCATCTAGAGAAGACACAGCTTGATTCAGTATAGATATCAAATTAGATATGTTTAATTTCTCCAAAACAATGACTCTACAGCGACTCAAAAGCGCAGAGTTTAAACTAAAAGAAGGATTCTCTGTTGTAGCACCGATCAGCGTGATAGTACCAGACTCAACGTGTGATAAAAATACATCTTGTTGATTTTTATTAAAACGATGTATTTCATCCATAAAAATCACCGTGCGTCTATTAAATTTTAACTCGTTGGAAGCTATGGCGATTACTTCTTTTACTTCACTTACGCCAGCCATTGCCGCAGACAGCTTCACGTATCTCATTTTACCATTTGACTTATTTTTACATATATGAGCTATAACATTTGCCAAAGATGTCTGAAATTAAATAAGTACATTCACTTTGTTAAAAAATGAAACGTAACAAATTACTTCCTGTAATGGAAAAATTATCTTGGTATACCTTTCCACAACCAGGTGGGCCCCATAAAATTATATTTGGTATTTCAGATTTATTCAATAATTGATACAGGACAGTTGACGGCCCGAGAATATGAGATTGACCAACATACTCTGAAAGTGTTGTGGGTCTCATACGTTCGGCAAGAGGTACGTGATCATTCCCAAATAATTTTCTAATTTCTTTGTCTGTCTAGAAATTACTATCGTTAACAGCTAATGCTCATTTTAACATTATCATTCTTTGTTTTACAAATGAAAGAAAAAGACATACATTACTGTTAATTACTGACGTCGAATTTGGACAATGGGAATCTGTATTTGTTACTGGCGATTCTATCGAATTTGTTGCTTTTTTCGTTAATCTTAAACTGCCCTTTTTTGCCTCGGTATTGGTTAATTTCATATATTTCCTTGCAGGACTTCCATCTTTAAAGGACGATGGAGATTCTTTGCTTGTCGATTCATTTAAGAACAAACATTTGCTAACATGATTTTCTATTACCGTAGAAGGAAATCTTTCAGAACAGATCGGACAATAAATTTTATTATTATCCATGTCTAAATCTGCGATACAAATACACAAATATAAACACATTATATTTAATAATTACAACAACGTGACATATTGTTAAATTATTGAACATTAAAGAATTTTGAAATTATGTTCTTACGTGATAGATAAGATGCAG